AAAACTATAAATAAATAATGAAAATCATCCTAAAGAGACAGAAATGACAATCTAAACTGTAAAAAGTATTTTTTTCATTTTTTTTGTTTAGCAGTTTAACTAAAATTTAAGATGAAATTTTAAAAAAATAAAAAATTTATATAAAGTATGATGTACAAAATAAAAATAAGAATCTAAAATAAGACTAGGATGGAAAGTAAGAAATAATTCTGACAATGATACTGAGATACTAAAGTCAGATTAAACACGATAATGAAATACTGCAAATGAAGATGAAATGTTGCATATGATTCGTTTTTTGTTTTTTAAACAATTTACTGTTATTTTACAGATGTTCCCTGATGTTCTGAAAAGAATGATACTGACTATGCATATTTATTTTCCTAAAAAAGTCAGATGGGAGAAGAATAAATAAAACAGAAAAGCTGCAAGAAGAAGAGAACCTATTGCATCCATGAGTCAAATATAAAGCGTCATCATCTGCAAAGAAACACACAATCCTGCAAAAAAAAAACAGCAGTTTGGGACATTTCTAGCATGTTTAATTATCAGTAAAATCACAGGAAAAAGTAAATAATTGACATGTTTACAGGAAAAAGAAAATAGACCAAAACTGTAAACAATAGTCACATCAAAAATCTATATTTAAAATTTAATATTTTTTATTTTACAAAGACAAATTGCGCATATTAAGGATTTAAAAATGTTAAATATTTTTTCAAACTGTAATTTTCCAGGTTTTGCAAGTTTTGTTAAATTATAGACCATCTGGACGAACTGTAATTCTCTATACTTCATAAAATATTAAATCTGACTACAAAACTGGAAAGTATAAAATATGTGGAGTATTCTTTTAAGAATATTTTGCAGGGTGAATAATTTCAACTTTTAAAAAAAACAAAAAAAACAAAACAAAACAACAGCATCAGTTTGTTCAAATGCATGAAACAAGTAACTTTACGAGACCCCACAATGGTTGCATGATTCCTGAAATCTGCTGCTTTAACTTGCAAATAACAGACTTAAAAATGTTGAAAGCAACAATAAAGCAGGAATGAAGCGAGAGAACAAAATCAATGAAAGTCTGTATTTAATTGCTGTTTTCACAGATTCGCTCTCAATGTTTAATGCTGCAGTTGAAAGTGAATTATTGAGCGCGCGGTTAAGTTTACATGTAGAACTACAACTTTAATCACTTTCCACCGTTAAATGATGAACACGCTTCATGTTGTTAATGTGGAGGAGATGAACACGACGCTCACTTGGACTTTCAGACGGATGGAAACAGAAACTGTCAGAAAGTTAAGGAGAGCTGAGATTAAAGGAAGAAATTGATCTGCTGCTCTGAGATCAGAGGCTCATTAAAGCGGCTCTGAACTCATGATGATGTTATTTAAAACAGTTTCTGTGTTGAAACGGCATCTAACATGTCTAATGAGGGAGATGAGCACAACGAGACGAGGTGCAGACTCCTGTGGCTGAATTAGACGAAGATTTTCACAATTTTTACTTTAAATCGATTATATTTTCATTAAATTTATCAACTGTACATTTCTAACATTTTCATCTTATTAAATGCCTTCTCTTGTTGTTGGTCTACATGTTTTCAGCAACAGCTTTTAATCCACAATAAATGTATTCAGTAATTACTTTTCTACAAAGCAAGTTTCATTGTTTTGCAAAATTTAAACTGCAAAAAGAAGTTTTCACAGCTACGAGTCAAATATAAAGCGCCATCATCTGCAAAGAAACACACAATCCTGCAAAAAAAACAGCAGTTTGGGACATTTCTAGCATTTTTAATTATTAGTAAAATCACAGGAAAAAGTAAATAATTGACATGTTTACAGGAAAAAGTAAATAGACCAAAACTGTAAACAATATTCACATCAAAAATCTATATTTAAAATTTTTTTTTTTTTTTTTTTACAAAGACAAATTGCGTATATTAAGGATTTAAAAATGTTAAATATTTTTTCAAACTGTAATTTTCCAGGTTTTGC